GCCTTTCTTACTACGACACTTCATCTTACTCATGATCCTAGAAAAACTGAATTTTGCCATCTTCAATCTCCAATTGGGGGGAGGATGATATCTCCCAAATTTCCTAGCGTCCTGACTCCTCCTTGCCGTAGCATTTCTGTAGTACCTCACTAGGCGGATAGCATTAAGGGCCTTGCCTAAGGGCCCAAGCTGACACTCTGCCCCGACAGTGAATCGAACCCCATCTTGCCATACCAAAGTCAGTGGTGTTACCCACCGAGCTCTCCAGCTGCTTCCCTCCTAATATAATGGTAGGGGAAACAGTGATAATGATCACTGAACAAAAATATTATGGTAATACAAGGTCATGATAATTATATATTTACACATTTCAGATGATCAAAAGCCCACTGGATGGTGCTAGTGACCGCAAATGATCATATGTGACCTGATGGCAGGTAACACAACTGATGAGCCTATGAATATGGGTAAGATTGAGAAAAGTATATTGGGTACATTTAGCAGTAATGAATGATATCAGAAGGATTTATTTCAGTATCAAATAATGCTTTGTATACACACTTGTTTTCTTATTCATCCCTTTTTTGCTCCCTCTCTCTACTACATGTTGGACCCTGTCCAGAAACAAGCTTCAACAATCTGTCAGGGAGACTCCTAGATTTCAAGTTGTAGTTAACCAAATGTGGTAGTCACGGCTTGAATTCCCCTGCCTTTAATTACCAAACTCCTCCTCTTTGGGGAGGAATAGAGCACTTAATTCTGGTTTGAGATGCATTTGTAATTTGAAGATCATCATTTCAGTCCTTATGGTAAACCACCAATACAGTAAATGCAGAACAAATTTTTGCTATATGCAAAAATTGCTCTGTAACAAATTTATCTAGTTCTACACTTAGTATGTGATGACTACAATGAAACAAACACATTCGCATACTGTACTTTGCATGAGAATGAAGAACTGACAGTCTGCATCTTTGCCTTGTTTATCTGTTCATCATAAGTGCAATAGTAAATATACCTCAAAACAGACAATTTAACAAGTCTGTCAAACAAAAAATAAGTTATGTTATTTCCCTGCATCCATCAGGTGAACAGTATAATCATCTTTGGACTGGCTTTTTGAAGAAAAGAGGCACAAGTTAAAGGCAAGGGGACAGTTGTCTTTGACTTAGTCCTTTTAGATTTCTTGCAACCTGGATTTTATATGTTCATGCATTTTGAACAAAAATTTGAACAAAATTAATCTGACAAAATGATGATGTCAGCCAAAAGGGAACCCTGTTGTCACTAGCTTGTTTCTGGTCAGGACCCTTGACTGACTGTTACTGTGTAGCAATCTGTGTTATAGCAGGAAATGATCCACACATATGGACAGCAGAATACATAGAGCGTTCCCTGGGAAACGATAAAAAGACAACAAACTGTACTGGCAAACATGTACAGCCAAGGCTCACAAGAGGAGAGTGGGATCACTTCTTTACCTCTCCTCGCTCTCATTACCTGTTTTCCGTCCTGTTCACCTGCCGCTTCTTCCATAATTTTGTTTATGTCCTTCCTCTCTTTTGTAATCTATTTATCTTCTCTCTGTTTACTCTCATCTTACCGAAAAGTCTCACACTCACTCTATTTTCCTCAATCTGCCCTCTCCTACTCTTGTGTAATCACTTTAGTTCCTCTCACTTCTGTTCCATCCCCATAGAGGTTTCCAAGGCCAGAACCTCTGTAACATCTTTTTTCCCCCCCCCTCTCTACTTGTCTTTGTTCAGTATAAAGTAATAGCAAGAGAACAACGACTGGCGTTATACCAGACCAAGTCTTTTTTTTTTAGGCGTGCGTTTTGTTTGTTCCTGATAGACTCTGTTTGTGTGGAAGGTAGGGTTATCTCTCCATCAGTCACACATACGAGACTGCAACATTGCGCAAATACACACATTAAGATACACACACTGTTCCAGCACTATCTCGCGCATCTCTCCCTCTGTCTGTTACCATGTCAGCATGATCACCATTGTATTTAATTGGTGCTCACTCACCATGGCGACAGCTTTTTGTTTGCTCATACCTTACTGGTTCATTGCCCTAGCTGGAGAATCCATTGTAAAGAATTCACCTGTGATCGTCACCAGAGTTCTGTCCATTGTCATGGTAACCAGGTTGCCTGGTCAGTGCTCCGTTGTCATAGAAGTGAGGTTACTGTCATGGCGACCCATCTCTTCCAGTACAGCAGCCAGTTCATTTAGGTCTCCATCAGGGAAGTGCTGGGCCTCCCAGAGATCCAGGATCACACCTGTTGGACTGGACTTGGTGGCAAAGTAGTTCAGGTACCTGGAAGAGTCAAGGAGAGGATGAGTGATAAATTGTTGTATATTAATAATAGGCCCCATTCAGACTTACACTGGAACCCTGAAATTATAAGGACGTTGTCTGGAGGAGCTCTATGTGTGAATGCAAATGTCCGAGTCAGCTGACCTAGATGTTAAGCGGACTTTACTTAAATCTCAAATACCTGAGAGAATTATCTCATCCATAAAAGGCTGTACAGAGAACAAATTCTAAAGGTTTAGATGATGGAGAAGGGGGTTACACAATAACTAGTGCATGTAATATATTTTTACCTGGGGGGAACACTCTCTTGAGGACTCTGACTTATACCCTGAAAACCTATTTGACTTGTAGTGAAAGCAGCTGATATTAGACAATATGACAAAGCAGAGAGAATAAGAACTCATTATAAAGAAACATCCTTGATTAAGTCCTGAATACCACATTTATATAAAATGTTAGCCTAAATGTAATATGGCAGGTGAATTAGTTTTAGAAAATTTGTTTGTTCAATTGAAATTGTTTTAAAACAATTAAGAAAAAAATCTAACAGAAATTGCATTAGTGCATAAAAGTGTGCCAACAGCTCCACAGTGAGAGCAGTTCTTATACTAATGGTAAGTACTACAGCCATTGGCTGCGGATGCTTAGCCATCTGTGACAAAGATCTCAGTACTGCCTCAAAGCCATCAGATCTGAGTCCCATGGGGATAAAAATGAGACTTTCTGTTCCTCTGTAAATCCTGTGATTGTACTGTTGGCACTCTTTGGTACTGTTTAAACACAACCACAGACGTGTACATCACTCATCTGCTGCTTTCTGTCGGTTTCTCCTTCTGCAGATTTTCTTCATATTTTCTCTAACTCAAAACCTCTAATAAAGCCACTTTCATCACTCACTTTGTTTCTTTCTTTCTCACTTCTGCCTCAGACTCCATCTGTCTGCAGTATGCAATAACGGGTATCCTGCTGTTAAGTGAACTCAGTAGCTAAGATCTGCTTTTTCGTGCGAGTGATGGACCAAAAAGCTTACAATTATGTGTTTTCTTGTGTCTGTGTCAAAGTGGGCATAGTTCAGGTTTTGTCATTTAGATATACATAAAACGTTATGTGAGAGATAACTGTGATGGCAAAGCACGACTCGTACTTTGAAGTCAAACGGACACAATGGGGCAGTTACAAGACCAGAGAGGATAAAAGATGGTACTTCCTGATTAGACCATTTTATTGTGCTCCTTTTGAAGGGGTGCTTTTAGCGGAAATGTTGAAGTAAACAACAATTTGGCAAGCTGTCCATTTTTCACCCACTGGTCGGGAATGTTTGGCGCCCACATTAACAGACTGCATCATGATCTGGCTGCCTGTTGGGACAATGAGGTGCACTTGTGCCCAATTATCCTCTCAAAATGTGCCTCTGCCTCAGTAGCTGCTGGTAAATGAACCTCCAGACTGAATCATCGAGACACACATCTGGGGATAGAGACACTAAAGATGTTACCTGTGAGTCAGATGCAAACAGAAAATTACCTCTTTGCTATTTCTGTAGGTGCATGGGAGTCCATCAGTATAGCATTTTACTCAAACTCTACAGGGATCTGGGCTTGAAAATGCTGCAGTTTATTTGAAATTGAGTGATCACATTTATCTTTTGTGCACAACTGTACTTCACCATAAGAAAAGACCAATGGCCACATAAGACTATGCTGCACCTCTTAAATATTTGTTGATGCTATTTTATCTTTGAGTCCTGAGGAACTAAAACAAATAATAGATTAAGAATGATAATTCCCAATTGAACTGCACCATGTGATTTAATCTGTGGGGAACCAAGAAACATCTGAATTCACATAAACTGACAAGTGAGACAGGCCATCTTGATGAGCTGCCATCCTGTTTTCTGCCAAAATGATATTCCAAGCCAAGCAGAACACCTAATGGAAGCATTCAGGTAATAATAGATTTTTTTTTTTAAGTGTTTTTGTGTGTGCCACCTGTCAAGGTTGAGTTTGTGGGCCAGCATCCTCCAGTCATTGCCTCTGGTCTGTGGTGCATCCAGACTGCCACACAGCTTCTGCCTGATGGATAAAGGAATGCGGAAGGCATTAGGCCCCACTAAGGTTGTGATATTACTGGCAGGGTCCATCAGGGATGTGTCTATGCACTGGACCTCCTGGAAAGACAAAAAGAAACTGCTCAGTTACGGGGAAAATTCACTTAGAGAAATTTGGTTCCTGCGTACTTTTGTACTCTGATCATTACAGTACAATGTCTGCAATTAAAGATGGATGGATCTATAAACTTATAATCATTCAGCTAAAATGTGGATCATATTGTGCATCCATGTGGCAGCACTGGCACAGTTAAATTAATCATGTTTCTATTTCAAATACATCTCTATCTCAGTCCTTCTGGCAAAGACTTGACTCCCTGCTGTTTGCCTTCAGGATGACCAATTATAGATGAGTCTCCTAATTAATACACGAGTGAAACAAACACAAAGAATTGCTCCCAAGCAGTCTCAGTCTCTCTTGCTGTCGATCTGTCTCTTTCTAAACTTTCGTCCCATTAATCTGTCACTCCTGGGCTGAAAGGAGGCAGCAGTCTAATGAATGTGGCTTGGCAGAGGGAACGAACAACTGCTTCTGCTGACGTGAATGATTACTATTTACTGCTTCTACTTAGCCCCAATTTACAGCAGAAAGCACTTTGCTGCTGGAGATTGAATGATTGATTGCAAAGGAACATCTCTGTTTTTCTGTTGAAATAACAAATGTTTTAAACCTTCTTTACTTCCCAACGTGTTCACCATGCAGGACACTGCTGGCTGGATGAGGGTCTACAGAATTTTACTGAATGCATCCACAGAGAGCCTCAAGGAATATTGCTTTAGCAATTTAGCTCTAATTACCATACATTCCAGCATCCCATGTGATCATAATTATTTGGTAAGACTAGGTAAGGTATATAAATTGGATTACAACTGATGACTCAACAAAATGTTTAATATTATGACTAAACTGTAATTGCCCAAAACAGTCAAATTTTTTACTGTGTAGCTACTTGTTACATAACCGCAGCACAGTTCTGCCCCTGCCCCCACCCCCCTAGAAAACCCATTTGGATGAATGAATAATGAAGTAAGGAGAGTCGCATCAGGCAGTACAGGAAAAATGCATGATGTGACATTTCTCCTGTGTTTTTTTTCAAGGGACCATTTGATGTACTGTACCAGAGTTATCTTAAAGCTAATCTGCAGTCCCACTGTAGCCCCGCTATAGTGCATAACGCTTGACAGAATGAGAAAGGAGAAGGTATAGCTTCTATGATATAAAATGTTCTGTGCATTACAGCCAGGATGTAAAAGTTATGGTAACTGGAGATACCTAATCACTATCATATAACTCTGATGAGCAGCTAATTAAACTCTCTGCATGCATACTATACATTTTCTCTTCTGGAGGAGTAAGAACTATGCTAATGCAACTGCTCCTCTATATGCAATAAAATATATATATATTCCTCTTTGTCAACTGAACTGGTTAAACAAGGGTTAATAAAAGATCTAAAGTGCAATGCCAACACACCATGGGAGAATTCCAAAAGATCTCTCTGACCTACGACCAAAACTGTTCACACGCGAACACAGACACATACACATACACAAAGGCACACCCTGAGTGACTTTGTGGTTACCTAGGTTGGCAAAATCAAAGACAAGTTATTCCACTCGTGTTTTGTGACCTCTAGCTTCACTATGAATGATTGAACGGTCACACAATTGCAGTAGGAACCCTGAGTGTCTGACAGATAGAGAAAACTTAAACTGACTTTAGGACCTTTAGAGAAAGAATGTAGAAGTTAGCAAAAGGGTGTAGAAGGAACTTCTCACTCTCTGTGTAACTGTGTTCATCTCTTTTTAGCTTGCCCCAGGCAAGAGTGCGTTCAACTTGTCTTCTGCAACCTTCTTTTATACACATACAGCCAATACCCAAAGGAAAAAAACTATTTGCTGTGTGAGTGTGAATTTCTACAAGCCGACCTCCTCCAGTGTGTTGCTGAGCTGAAAGATCTGTCCTTCTCCTTCCACCTGTCGCACACAAAGTTTGCAGCTAATCTCTGTGGTGGCTGGGCTCAGTCTCTCCAGGGTGAAGGTACAGTGAAGAGTTCTCTGGCTGCCACTCCACACCTGGTAGAATGGGATCTCCTAAAAAAAGAAAAGAATAAGTTATAGGTATGTTTTTGATAAGGCAATGGATCAAAGAATTTTCCCAATGAGTCATAATTCTGATATGATATGCTCCCTTTAAAACTTGCAGTATGTTAATAATCTTCATCTTTTGTGGATACTTGAGGTGCTTAGTGAGTTTTCAACATTTTTACTTTTAATGTTCATTGGAGTTTATCAAAGTGACTTACTGTAACTGCAAACATGCTTTACTGGAGCAAAGCTTAACACACAGGACAACTAACACTGGGTCATGCTGTTAGTGTAGCAAACATGTGCATTCACACAAACTCTTGTCTGACTAAAGCCACTACTCTAAACTTCCACATTTGCTGTATGTGTGAAGATCATTTGCTATACTGTGTATAATGCAACTTAACCTTGCAGTAACATGTCTTTAAGCACCTTTATATGTTTACATCCTTCTCACCTGATACTTTGCAATGAGTTTGCTCTTCCAGTGTGTGTGCGGCACGTCATGGATCGACAGTCTCAGATTGTGTGTGCTGTCTTTAAAGTTCAGAGTCTTTGGCTCGTCCAGAAGCTTCCCTCCCATCTGGGTCTCCATCTGAAGAACCTCCTGCATGAAATCCCACAAAAAACAACAATAACTAATTCAAAGTTCCCTCTGCAAGTTTGCTTCTTCTTAATCTTGTTTATTGAGCCATTTATTTTTCATGCAGCATTAGTCTTTGGCTGAAAGGCAGAAAGCCTTTGATTTCTCTTGCATAACGACAATGCTGTCTAGAATTCTTGAATGTTGCCTTGAGGTACACAGCATCATGAAAAACTTGAAGCACATTAAAGCTTTCAGTGAGATGTTATCACACATCTCAGTAGCTGTACTCCATGGATTTAAGTAAAGCTTAGCTGTGCTAACTGCACTGAACTGAAGAGAGACATTAAGATTCTCAATAAAACTGCTGATTAATAATTCACAAACAGTCACAGTATTGCTGTTGTGAGATGTGGGGAAGTAAAGCATATCTTTAATGTAAAACTGTAAAATTAAATTACTTCTATTGACTTTAGAAAATGACCTCAATGCAGCATGTTACTTATGATAACAATAAACGTAATTCTGATTATTACAATTCTGCAGCACATTTTTGTCTTTTTCATTACCAGCAACATTTTTTTTCCCTTGTGCACTCTCTTTATGGCTTTAAACGATACTATAACTTCCACCCCACTCAAGGCAGATTCAGAAGATGATGCACTGCACTTAACAGTGGTCTTTGTTTTACTTTAGTTTCTTAGATTTCAGCAAATGGAAAAATAAATCAGTTAATGTAAAACCAATATGGTCCATTTGATGTCTTGGTCCATTTTGTGAACAGAAGAAAGCAGAACATTTTACTTTGCTGTGCTGCAGTTTCAATAGTAGTACAAACACAGACCTGTGGGGATTTCTGCTCATCCTTTTCAAATTGACTTCTGTATATCAACTAAGCCGAGGCAGTACAACTTAAGTAACTGTACCCTACAGACACACCAGCATGCATAATAGGACACATATGCTAAACACACGTCAACATATTTACAGGGTCTTGAACTGCATATACTTAAATAAGCAAGTTAACTCATAGACATGCAAACATTCAGTTATTTTGTTACAGAAAATTAAGCTATCAGTATGAGTTCTGATGCCTCCTACAACCTTTTCAAAATAATCAATTCCTCCTTCCCATCATCATCCTACATGGCAGCTCTACTGTAGAAATACAGCAGAGACTTCTGCTTTGAAACGCCAACCCATCAATTATATTGCACAGTCTCCATCATTAAAAAGTTCACCTCTGAACTTTGTTTTCAAGCTACAATTACTTATTTGCAATGTTAAAACTGAGTGTGTGCTGATATTTGTCTCAGTGTGTGCACGGCTGCGTGCCACACTGACACTTGGCGCATTGCATGCATAAGTTCCCCTGTCAATCTCCTGCATCAGATGGTCCCTATAGTGCTTGGAATTTGTTTAAATTCTAAAGCATTACTCTTCTGACATTACTTGACCCTGTTTTGTTTACTGCTTCTCAGCTCATTTCCAGAAGACTAGAGGTGAAGACGCTTCTATTTGTGACTCTAGACAATCATTTCTATTGAAGCTACAACATATTTATTTCAAATGCAAATTAACAGGGAATAGTTTTGGTATCGATGGCCCAAGGGAGAACTAAATCCCTCACAGTACTAAAGAACTCAACAAAGCATTCAGTCTAAAATATCACACAGCTCTTCTTTACCTTCACTGTTATTCAAGACAGTGGAAAGATTTGGCAAAGTTGTTCATACTGCACTGTACATGCAGTCTAGGTTAAATTAATGGAACAAGTCTAGTAAAAGCAGCTGAACAAAATAAATAATGGGATTGATTCATTTTGCTTTAATACTTTACCTTGAGTGCATCCTGTGTGTCATCCAGACAATAGACCCTGATGTGATAGTCCAAAGTTGTGCAGGAGACAGGTCCAAAAACTGCCAGTTTGAGCCTCTTGGCAGCTGCTTTGCCAACTGACTGGCCCACCAGGCAGTAAGTCCCCAGTGTCTCTGTTAGGATGTGACATGCCTCCATGTCCATCTGCACATAGCAGGGGGTGGTGAAGTTTTCCTCTCCCACTACAACCACATCCTGTAGGAATCACACACACACACACACACACACACACACACACACACACACACACACACACAAAGTCAAACAAATTTTTAGAATTTGTGCTAGCTGGAGGTATGATGGGTGGCATCTGAATTTATCATGTGAGCTTTTACACATTTCAATTTAAGCCAGATATGGGGTTTTAGTTAAGAGAGATTACCTTCTAAACAGACCTTTATTTCAAATTATGTGCAGATATATTGTTATATATTAGAAAGTAGTCTACTTGTCTTTAGACTGACTCTTGTTTGCCACAGTAATTTGATGCTGCAAAGAAAACAGCATTTCCTTAATCTGTTTCATATTAACACCTCTCTTGGGGTTCAGGGGCATAATCACCCCACTTTCACAGATGACTTTATTCTGAAAGACCTACAGGAAGTGCTGTGGTTTAACGCCACAGACTGTGCATAAGAATGGAGGACACATCATAAATTCCTGACACTAATCAAAATTTAAGCCAAAATATTGCTAATATAGAGGTGGCCATCTTGCTTTTTTTATGCATTTTGCAAATACTAGATTCTGCACAGTAGCAACCACAGGTGGAGCTGCAGTATCAGGCTGCCAATAGAGAAACTGGAAATGTGAATTCTGAATTAACACTGTAAGCCACAGACAAGGTAATCTTTTTTTCTCTAGCATTTATTTGTTTGTACAGACCACTACTGTTAAAACATGGCTATTATTTAAATATCAGCTTTGTTTGAGAATTTACAGGGCTTCCAGCCACACTGTCTGTTAACACAACTGAAGCTGCATTTGGACCTGTTTCTACTAATGCAAACAACCTATGGAACAAGGAAGGTTGTGGTTTGTACTTGATGCATTCTTCTGTTACTTTTTTTAAAATGCAATGGCATCACTGATGTGTGAAGAGTTGTGTTAACTTTACAATATACATTTTATGCAACAACAACAAAAAAATAATGCTGGACTGTAAATGTTGAGTTTTAATCACTCTGGCTTAGCAATAAACAGTAACATCTCATGTCAGTCTGGTAATTCATCTTAGATAAGTTACAAGGCATTCTGTTCAGCAGATTGTGAATGTATTTGTGTTGAGATACTGAAATGAAATGCATGTCTGATTGTAGGCAAGACCTCTGAAAGCAAATCAAAGCCTCATATAAGAGAATGATAACACTCGTTCCCAGCTGATTTCTATGAAGTGTGTCCAGTCCCACCGTGATTATATGTATGTTGCTGTTGTTCATATTATCCCCACAGCTCTCTGTCACAGCGTGGGTTATGGGAAATCCATATGCTTCTCTGGATAGAGAGAGAATTCAGACTCATCGTGTTCTTTTTATATGCTAACCGAGTCTTAGTTGTGCACATATCTGCTTACTTGTATGAGTGTGTGTACTTGTGTGTGCATGTTGGTAGAGGCAAACACATTGTAGCATGGATGTTGTGTGTTCTACTGTACACGCAAATGTGTGACACAAATATTGAGTTTTGAATCCCATTCGTGCAGTGTTCCTACAGATGAGCTGAATCAATAGAAAAAGGTAGGAAAGCAATATGGTATGAATCTGTTATTACTGGTAATCACAGCTGTGGCTGCTCCCTCCTGATGTGAGAGGAATTCAATTACCTCCTCTCACTGTTTAGGCAAAAACTTTCTGATGGGAAATGGATGTTCTACTGTAATAAGAAAAAAACAAATCGACTTCCTGATGAAATTCCGCTTTTCATTTTTCTCGTCTTTACCCACTCTGCATCCAACCCATTTTGTGCATCTCTCTCTCTGTCTTTCTCACATGCACACAAAAATACACACACAGAGAATCTTATGCATGGCTAATTGTGCAGAGACATTGTGTCGAGCTGTGATAAGCAATGGGAGACAGCGTACGGGGGCCTTGTAGACACAGTGATGCTGCGAGACAGCCTTATCATCCACACCCACACACAAGGATACACACATGCACACACACACACACACACACACACAGAAACAAATATGTGCACTGACATATACAGTTACACACACAAAAACAGATTGCTGAGGTAGGGACCACATGCTGAGAGACGCAGAAGGAGGGAGAAAGAGAAGGGTAGAAAAAGGGAGGGATAGAAACATAAAAAGAAAGATGAGAGAAGAGGAGTACAGCATGAGCATAACAAATTGCTTCTGATAGGAGTCTTCAACCCCCTGCTTGTCTACTAGCCTGTGGGCACTTTATGTTTACTGAATTTTCTCTCCTTTTCTTTCTTTTCCTCTCCTCTGCTCACTGTATATCTGCATTTGTAATGCAAACTTTTCTTCTGGGTGAAGGTGATACTGTATATGTGCACACAATGTGTATATATGCTATGTGAATTCACATGTGTATTATTTAGTATCAAAAAGCAGCAGAAGTTCAAAAGCTGCACACAAAAAGTAGAGTACACATGCAGTGATGAACACTCGCCTCCCATTCTCCCATGGCCAGTTGGTTTTTCAGCTGTATGAACCAGTCTTCCTGGACATTGTCAGCGCAGTGGTGGATGGTGAGGATCACTGGTCTAGTCAGCAGGGCTCCTGGAGGTCCGCAACTCACCACTGGGCTCAGCACTGTCTGGATGTCCTCTACTGGAGGTCTGGAAAAGACAGATAACAGTGAGGTGAAATGACCCTTTAGAAAGGACCGACAGAAGGGCCGCACTGTTGGTTAACAGCTAGTGTGAGCATCAACTGCAGAAAACTGTATTGATTTCATCTCTGGTCTGTGTGTTTTGTCATAATAGCCATATATGGAAAACCTTGGCTGGCATAATAAAGAGAACAGGTGGATAGTTAGACTAGAATGGGATTGACTAGCTTAGAGTAGATAAGAAATTCACAGAGCAAAACAGATCAGAGCAGAGCAGCACAAATTCAATCAGAGGATGATTAGTGTAGTCAGCGGGGCTTTAGCTGGGCCTCTGCTGGAGTCAGTAGTTCACAGCTCATGGGCAGAAAATAAATGACTAATGGTCACAGACTCCCGCTTTTCACAATTCATTCAAGTATTGGAACCTGAAGCACTTGCTAACTGGTAACTTGTATGTTACACTACAGCAACACAACACTCCAGGCTGTGCTCTGTGCGTGGTGAACACCATCAGCATTTATTACTCATTAGCCTAATTTCATTGGTATATTGAAAAGCAAAACCACAATCTTATACAATAGTTAAAGATGAAAATACATATGGCAATGATTCTGCTGTGAAATCCATTATCCAGTCATTTTCATCCCTCATGTTGCTGAAGACATTTATTTACTGAGCCGATACAGATAAAGGGGATGGATCTAAATTCTAACAGTGGTTTGTTTTCCACCCATGTTGTGTCTGGGGGACACTAATCCTTAGAAGTATTATCGATTTAACTGGAGCTCATTATTGACTCATAAAGGGGTCACATGGGTAAGAGAAGCTAAAAGATAAAAACATTGAGTCAAACTGTAGCAGACCCCCTTTGGCTTTCTTAATATGGGAGGTTGAAGAAATTAAAAGTTTATTTATTTGTGATGTTAGGTATATTTTATCACACAGACTGGGAAAAGATATATTTTAGGTTCCATAGGTGGCAAAGGCTTAGACATTAATGAGCTAAACCACGTGATAATGGCTTGTCAAGTGTTGCTAAGGTAGGTCAGTGTAGGTAATGTGATTTTTGCTAGCCAGCTATTGAATGAGATGAAGACAGAGAACAGAAGAGAGGTTTGAATGGCACACTGCAGTGGACCTCTTTTGTTCTAGCTTAGCTCTGGCAGAAGTTTTAATAGTCACTCTACCTATTTTCCTTTCAACCACTAGTGAGACTCAAAACAAACTCATACCAGAAACCACTCATTAGCACCCTTTGCCCCTCACATCCTGTTTGCCTCCAGTCCAAAGCTAGCATTGATTAATGACTAAATCTGGCAACCCAGCAGAATGCTCTGGTTACACAAAAAACTTATTTCCACAAAGCCCAAATTAGTCCCAAATTAAAATCATATTTATTCAAAATAAAGATATAAAGGTAGAATCATCACCAAGCTAGGTCACTAATGTTACCAAAGCAAACACGTTAGAAGAAAGAAGGCCACATCTCAATCAAATCTGAGCCATTTGGCTGCTTTTAACACTATCCATCTCAAAAAGCCAAACTCATATGTTGAAATGAAAACAAATCTGTTGGTCACAATGAAATCAACATTTATTTCACACATTTTGAAATAATTGGTATTATGAGCTCTATGTTTGGGTAATAGCACTGATAATAGCATTTCTAGCTATTACTCTACAGAGTGACAGTTTCACATAGGTGATAATTTCTAAAATATTCCCTTAAAAAAAAAAATCACTTCATCTCAGCAGTTTAGACATTTAAATTCTGGTATTAATACTGGAATTCTGTGGTATTTAACTGACCTCTGCTGAATGAATCACCAAAAGAAGGTTTGCATGAATGCACTATAAATAATAATGATTCATCGCTTGCTGTACATTCTAAGCTCATCTCAAACCGTGCAAGCCTCCCCAACAAGTAGTGGGAGTAAATACAAAGCAAAACAAAGAAACCAAAAGAATACAGAGGAAAATGCAGAGATGAAGAGAAATGGGGACAACAGGGAACAACACAGAGAGAGAAAGAAAAAGCCACAGAGGAGAAAGGTAAGAGAAGTCGAGAGACAACACTTACCTCAAGCTGTCCTTCCTGTGCACGGTCACGTACATCTCATACACCCTACCCTGAGGAACAGCACCCGCAGGAACCAACAAACTCACACCTGCAGGAGGGAGGACAGGAGAAGCAGGATGGATGAAAGCGGAAATGATGAATTTCATCAAGGATTTATTAATTTCACCAAGCACAACTGAATTATTGAATGCCCAACCCATTATCACTTTATCATTATGATTAATTATCAAATAATCATTTTTAAGGCAACCTGTGTAAAACTTTCTCTTAAATATATCACCATGTGAATCGTGCTGCTATGTTTTATAGCTTCTGAGAGTTGCTTCCAATAAGATTACATTATTCATTAGTTTTGACTTCCCACTGCTTCAAAGCCTTACATAAGTTTACTGATTTTTTTCTTTCTTTTAAATCTAAGTAGCTAGAAAGGCTTCCAAGGCTGCTTTGTGTAGTCCAGTATGTTGACTGTGCATAGCAAGTTTTTAGTATGTGATTTGTTTAAATCAATTATGATTCTTGTTGGAAAGTATTGACTTTGATGTCTTTCTTACTATTACTAGCATTTAATGTAGAGATGTAATGTATTATTGTTAATTACTGTATAGTATTGTGCAAAAGTCTTATGCTGCCATTAGAGTTGTTGTTTTAGCAATGTTACAATGACAATGTTTATTTATCAGAATGCAACTGGAAATATAGTAGGTAATATGTACACACTACTAAAACACAAATGTCAGAAAATATTCAGCAAACAAATTAGATATTCAAGATGTGGTATTCAAGCCATTATAAAGAAATATGAAGAATCCGAAGAGTGAAAGACCAAGAAAACTGTCAAGATTTGATGAGAAGTTTCTCAGAGATCTTTCTCTAAGAGCCCGGAGGAAATCCAGAAAGGACCTGGTTCAGCATCTGGCAGCTTCATCTGGATGCCAAGTTGATCCTTCCACAGCCCAAAGTAGCTTGATCAGGAACGGCCTTTGTGAAAGGACAGCGGCCAAGAAACCACTTTTCCAGAGGAGGACAGGGAGATAAGGCTGAGAATATGCAAATGCTCACAAAGACTGGAGTGAAGATCGGTAGACAAGAGTCTTATGGAGTGATGTATCGAAATTTGGGTCCAATTGTAGACATTATGTGAGAAGAAGTTGGAGAGAAGTGGAAGAATAAATGCTTGCATCCTTCAAAGAAATGGGGGGTCTCCCCAAACGAATTCGAGCTGTGCTACAGCAAAGGGAGGTCACACTAAATAATGACTTTGGACTATAGAAGCCATTTTCTTCTGAAAATTTTTATTTATTTAATTTTATTTTTGTGGAGATACTTCCTGTATTTTCTGGTTTCTTAATAAAGACACTGAGTAATACATATAAATGATCATTATAACCTTGCTAAAACAGCCAAACAAATGGTGGCCTAAGGTTTTACTGTATATGGAAGAATTTGTAAGAAATTGTAAGAAATAATCCCTATACCTGCATTATCATTGATTTCAACCAGATTTATGTTTAGCTAATTAGCATGCATAGAATACTATTCTTACCGGAGTTGGGTACAATGAGGTGCCCTCCCTGATTGTTGAAGGATCCGTGAGCCGTACAGGAAGGGTCTCGAGTTCGGGCTAAGCTCTGGTTGCGAAGGTTCATGGTGTCGCTGTTGTCCAAGAGAGACTGAGTTACCTAGGAACCAAAAGATAACAGTCAGAGTGATAATATAATTACAGGGTATAACAAAACGTGGAGAAACAGACTGAAATGTGCATGCTGCTGATCAGCAGAGACTTGATCAACAGGAAGTCTGACGGCATTAAATGGCTGAATTAATGTCTCATTTGGATGAGCAATACTGCGTTATACAGTAGCCGCAAGGATGTATTCATCTTAGAAATCCCACTAACACTGTTGAACCTCTATGATATAAGAATAATATGACGGGATACATGACATGCTGCAATAAATAAATAAATAAGTAGTTTTCTTTTGAGATGTTGGTGAGAACAAATGCTGTATCTTCTGTAGCAGTCTGGTCAAGTATTTGAAATGTTATCTTTTTACTCTTACAGACATGGGTCATGTTACTCTTGCTGCATATGTATACACTATACTGAATGTACCATACATCCTGTACAGTGCACAGAGACACGAACATATGCATAAGCAATCATTGGGATGTAGTTTGGAGGGCAAACCTTGCCTAAAAGAGCTGATGTCAAGCACTAAAGTTGTATTCTAATAATACCACAAGTTCATAGAGGTCCAGAGAAGTTTCACTGTGTAAGGCCAGTCTTTGGTTATAAGTCACTTTAGCCTTATTTTTACTAGGCTAATTATCAAAAATGAAAGGGAAACATGTTGCTGCTTCCTTTTCAACAAGATGTTTACTGTATAGTGTATGTTTTAGTGTATGTTTTCCTAGAAGCTATTAACTAAAATGCTACAGGGACGATGTGCATCTGCCTGGGAGCACTGCCACTGGGCTGAGCTGGTAGTCTGTAAGAAGAGGGTGGATTTACAACAGGCCTATGAAACGTCCTTAGGGTAAGTGGTAAAATATTGACATGCTTTGCACTCCACTCAAATGTCCACTGTGAGATGCAAAATAAGGACAACATTCAGTAGTTCACTCCTATACGTATATCACACAAGGCTGACAAGAACTCGCTTCTTCAGTGTGTTAGGGGCAGACACCAGACTAAAAGCCAAAAAAAAAAGCCCTCAAAATAGTGAGGCTAGTTTGGTTACATGGGAGCAGTTCAAAGGGGACACAATTAAAACACCCATAATAACAGATAAACTCATCAAATGGTGCCAAATGAAGTGAGTTCAGCTCTCACACTGCCTCAGGACAGGTGCTGTGATGAAACCGAGGAGCTTCATCTGTATTTGTGACAACTGACTCTAGTATGCATGCCATGTAGTTGACAGAGCAGAGAGAGAAACTGGGGCACTGAGCTGCATGTATACTAATGGCGTTTGGTTTTATATTTATCCGACTAGGAATACTTAGCTGCTGTGTTTCAGTAATTCACACTGTGCTCCTTACAGTTTAACCTCATACTTCAAATCCTAGTGTGCTCATTCAGAATACTTTGCAATAGAAGTGGATTGAAGATACCAGCATTAGTGCTGGGGATACAATAGTTACATTACCTTAGGAGACAGTTTGGATGTGAAATCTCCTCCAAGGTCATCCTGTGGTGTGACCAGACCAGAAGAGTTGTAGACTTTGATCTTCAAGTTGGGAAGAGGGTCCAGGAGAGGAGAGTTGGTCATCGGGATTTTATCTGATACATCGTGGAGAGCATACACTGGACCACGATACATGGCAGCTGCATTTGTCAAGTCAGGAGGAGCTGTCAGTAGATCGGCTAAAGGACCAAAGGAACAAAATGAAAGAGAGAAAGAGAAAAATGATGATAGAAAAGCTTTTGGTCAAGTTTTCTTATATGTATGCACAAGTGTTCAGCTAAAAGCAGGTGGCTGGGAAAATGAAAGCTAATGCTAAATACTTTGTATCATCAGCGGTATAAAGTTCAAAACAGGGCTGCAGCATGGCACAGGACTCTAGAATGTAGCAAGATCAGTGAGCAGGAACAAGGAAAGTGAGACGAGGGCAGGCAAGGCTGCTGATAAGGTATCGGTGTCTGGTTTGATACACTGCAGCACAGAGGGGCATGACCTGGATCAAGGACTAGTCATGGATCATGCTCAAAGAGGGAAACAGAGAGTGAGACAGTGAGAGAAAGACAGAAGGAAGGTGAGAGTAGATTTTGAGGGTGAAGGCAAGTCTTTTAGAGACTTACATTATGTTTCACAACAAATGTCTACATGTGTACATTATAAAAACAAACTTACAATTTCTAAATTTTACCTTCCTATAATGAACAAAACAATAACAGCATCGCTCCATGACATTCTTCACGCTCTTCAAATTGTTGTCAATGACTCCAACGTCACCCACACAATCAAAGAGGTTGTCACACTTTAATCACATCACTGTCTAGATCTAAAATGCTCACTATGTAATAATTCAAACCTGACTGACAAAATCTGCTGTGCAAAACATTACAATGGTAATTGAAGATGAGAACTGTACAGACTAATTTTATAGGGTTCTGTTAATAGGAAACAACCCTGTTCTACAGTGTTCTAATAAGCATTCTTTTTACAGTCAGTATCCAAATAGTATCCAATGGTGTATAGCATTGGATAAACATTTGAAGTTTATTTAGAGCAAATAAGATAGTACATAATGCACTGTATGCAGTATTTTGGCTAAACTTAAAATAAGGAGGCAAACCAATCTTTATATACAGCATAAAATGAGACTATGCTCCTTTTGTCAAACAATGGCAATCTGAGTTTCCAGAGATTCTCTACATGGTGACAGTGGGGATGAATAGGTAGGTCTCTGAGATTCCCTTCTGTGCTCATCATGGAAAGGACAGCGTAAGCCAGGGGAGACCTGCTTACAGCATGTTGGCTTTAGTTAGAAACTACCTCTTTCTACCTGCAGCAATCACTCCACTTTTTTCACACTTTCAGCCTTGCTGAATTAAATATAGTAACGTGTTTAATAATGCTCTCTTTATAATAAATAATGATCTTTTTCAGGAAATTCTCAACACATTTTTCAAATCAAGACTGTAAAACCTTCTAGCCTCATTTCCTTAGAGGTAATTGGAAAGATGCTGCAGCCAAACATACTGTAATAATGATACATTTGGCATCATTAGCAAACAGTAAATTCTGCATGGGGATTTAATCTGCCAAAGGGAATAAAATGAATGTGCTCTAAGTGATCTCAAAAGAGCCATCTTGCCACAAACCTTTTCAATTTAAATAACCCAACCTAAAGGCAGATAAACAACAAAAGGTTCTTTGAGACAAACACCTGTCTCCCATTAGAAATTCCAACAAATATTCAAGATGTAATTGGAAGTGGACCACAGGAGAGTGAGTTACTTACTGAGAACAATTTCAGATTTCTTTGCACCATGCTCTATTCTTCTTTTTGGGCATAGAGCCTGAAATCCTGCCATTGCCCCCAAGAGCTCATCTATTCTAATTTTAAAATTTCTCATTATCCCCCCTACACCCCAAACTCTGCTAACACACACACACACACACACACACACACACACATCTGTCACCTATCACTCTCTTCCTCTCTCTGTCACCAGACTGTTTACCCTTAAAGCCAGTGGGTATTCCTGCCAAATCATCCCTGCTGGAATTTAATTAACAACTAATGAAAAGCTACAGAGAGATCAAGTAAGAGTGAGGGAGAGAGAGAGCTTCAGTAAGGCAGACAGAGAGAAAGAGAGAGAGAGAGATTGCAGGGACATAATTCTTCATTAATAGTAATAGGAGACTGTCCCTCAGTGCAGAGTGACAAGCATGCTAATGCTCCAGCTGATAAAATGTCACCCAATCTCCAGGCAAAGACATTCACCCTGGTACACATACACAGGCACACACATGGATGCATATGTACACACACACACACACAACTGCTTTAGCTCGCCGTTTACCAATTTGTGTTGCATTCTCTCTGACCTCTCGTTTTTACTGTTTAATATGATTTGCATTTTAATCGTCCAACCACAACTGATCACATAAAATATTTTAGCTATTTTAAACCATTGAATTCTAATTTGTAGTTCTGTTTACAAATCAAACTTTAGAGCATATAATGATTTTAAGACACTTAGTACATCTGTCATCTGACATATTTTTATAGGAAAATTCAAAAGTTCATGGCATATGTGAACTCGTGACTGAAATCCCCTACCCATCCCTGGCATTTCCAGTAAGCTATCAAATGCATGCACATGGGTGTACGAGTGAGTGCAAGTGTGTGTGAGTGCTGTGTGCTTCTTGTTGTCTTATCCATTTCGAAGACAGAGGGGAACAAATGAAAATACAGACAACAGAAGGTGAAACATGGCTCCACTTAAAAAGAAAGACAAACATGGACGGCGTGTCCGTTGGAGAAAACAGCCAGGGAAAGAAGAGAGACATGAGGATGGATACAAACAGAGGAAGATGCTGATAAAGAGGAACTGTGATTGACCTGATTGCGCAGATAGGCAGGGAGAGAAAGTGAAAAAGAGAAGAAGAGTGGCAGAGACAGACTCCTTGATGGAAGAGAGTGGTCTCTGGTGGAGACAGAGATTAATCCAAAGCAGCAAAGTGACAGCTGGAGGCCGAGGAAAGAAACCAAATGATACTAGCATCAAAGGCTCAAAGCAGATGAAGCAGGTACTGTTATTTCCACTTGGTACACACCTATCAATCTGTGTACACTCCATCTATCTATCCAGCCACACTTTTACCTATTTATATTTATGTGCATCGCATAATGTGAAAATGTAAAAGAAACCTGTAGTTGAGATCATATAAGAAAGAGTCACTTGCTGCATGAGTATTTTCATCTAGGTGGCCATTCAGGCTGAGCACATGAACCCCTGAATGACAAACCCCCTCACTCGCTGCTATATTCAACAATAAACACTATTAAATGAAGGAGGAGAGAAAATAAAGTCATTATATTTACATTGTTGTACTTTACTGTTAACTGGGTGGTTTTTTCTATTTGTGCTTTTATCAGTAAAAAGAAGCCATCATACCTTGGAAACTAATAAAATAATGTATTTTGCTGATGTCAGATACAGTTTGTAACTTTTTAAAACAAATTCCTGTGTAACTTCTCAGCTTGCCGCAGTGACGCCAGGTAACCATGACATCACTTGGGTTACTGGTGCAACAGGCTTGAAACTTTGTACCATACAGTGCAATGGAGCACTTGCTTTCCAGCCTGATTAGGTCTTTAAATCAAATATCATCGCTTCTACTTGAGTTGGATCTTGTATTATTGTTTCCACCCTGGATTGCATTATCATTTTCTTTCAGCATTCATTACCTGACCGGGCTGTTTTGATATTAACAGACTGGAAGCCTCCATTCAGCGCTGAGGTGTCGATAATGTCTGAGTCGAAGTCGCGGTGTGTCTTGCGGTAGACAAAAAGAGCCACGATGACAGAGATGACCAGGCACATAATCACTGCGATGACAATGCCCACGTACAGAGCCACGTCATCTGTACTTGGAGCAGCTAGATGGAACACAAAGAAGAACAGAGAGACAATGTTAGATGATCTTGTTCAATATAAACCATGAGCCAAAATGCTTAAAAGACCTACTTAGGAGAAAATGTACAAAGAAAAGTGGCAATTAACAGCTACAACGGCATCTTAAAAAAACAAACAAACAAACAAAAAAATACAGTAGGGCAGTGGCAGAGAACCAGATTCTCTATAGGTTCCATTTCAAATGAAGCTCTCGTTTGTGTAATATGATCATTTGTCTAGACAGAAGTAGAACCTGACACCTAAAAAAAGAGATTCCTTAATGTTAAAATTGAATAAGGCTGTTAATTATTTTAAAAGGGTTGTAACATTATTTTTCAATCTGGCAGAGACTTGGAGAGAACAGTGGTAAAACTGTAATTATTTGTGATCCATATTTTATAATAAACCACAGAAATTTTTAACTGATGGATGATGCAGATGGATAAGGATAATCACCTTTATTTGACTAAGCATTTTACACACACAAGGAATTTGTTTCCGGTACAGAACCGAATCAGCCATCTACGGTGCCAACTCACACTGATGACTCTAACCATCGGGGGAAACTTGGGGGTTCAGTGTCTTGTCCAAGGACACTTCGACATGTGGACTGCAGGCACCGGGATTCAAACCTCCAACTCTCTGGTTGAGAGGCCACCGCTCTACCCACTGAACCACACAGTCACCCCAGAATGAGGGCCCCACTTGGGCTTGAACCCACAACCCAGAGTTTAAGAGATTCTGCTCTAGCGGCAGAACTAGCCGGGCAGCTGAGCCACACTTAAGGAATGTACAGGTGATGGAAGATAAGGAAGTACTAGCAGGCAAAGCCAATATGAGGAGAGTATAGAAAAGAGGACACACAACCAGATAAGGAGACTAACAGAAAAGAGTTGGGCAGAAAGAGCCAGATTCAGTAGGTGGCAGACAGGATAAGAGGAAAGGAAGGAGGAGGCAAATAAAGAGAATAAAAGCATAAAAACGACCGGATAAGAAAACAGGGAAGTTGAGAGGAAACAAGTAGGGCACAATAAATAAGTAGAGGAAAAAGAGAAGCAAGCGCAGCAGCACTGAAGAGAAAATGGGGCAAAAGAAGTCAAAATGCACTTAAAGTTCAAATAGCAAAAACATACAAGCCTACATATTTAAAATCAAAGTGCCTCTGAAAGTTTTTTTTTGAGTAGTCTCTCACTTAAAGCACTCCTCGTATAATCATGCCCTCTGTAGAGAGTAGGAGGGGATTTGTCTGCAGCTTATAAGAAGACAGAAAAGTGTAGGAATGCTCCTTTTAATCTGCCCTTAAAGTTGAGAGGCAGATAACAAGCTTTTAGTTCCAGCAGCCTGAGTCATTTACTGAAGGATTTGAAAAGGTTCAGAAAACATGAACTTGATTATGCACAAAAAAAAAACCTTTGATGACAGGCACAAACATTAATGCTCACATATGTCTGAGCATGATGCACACATACACACATTCACAGATGAGAGGTCACTCTTGATGTTGTTAGTTACTCATTTACCACTTGAGGGAGCTATGAACCACTTATAGTGTCTCTGGGGACCTGAGCATATGAGGGCAATTCACGTCCCCCATAATTAAGTCTGAGACTGTGATGAACCAAATCTCTCTGGGCAGTTTGTGTGAGGAACAGACAAATTATGTCAGGTTTTAAAATGGCACAGCATTATCCAGCCCAGTGTCTTGAAATGGAAATGTGGCAAAGTACACACAAACAATATTAATCAGTTTATTTGCCACAAATACACCACGCACCAAAATCACATCCTGACACTAAGCAATGCAGAGCAGAAAGGCTTAGATGATTCAATTATTAGTCACTCAGCAGAAAATCAATAAGCTATTTTAATAACTGACAGTATTTCAGTGATTTTTTTTCTCAAGCAAAAATTGCACATATTCAAATGCAAGAATGTTCTGCATTTCTTTCAGTGAAATGCTTGGTGCTGCTGGTCAGACCAGACAGGAGTGAATAAGTCACTTTTTGCCTTGGGAAACTATGATGGTGTATTTTTCACCTTTTTAAATTTTATCTATCTATTTATTTAGCTGAAATATTCAGCAGATGAATGAATACTGAAAATAGGCACTGGTTCCAGTACTAACTGTTGTAACCTCCAGCAGAGATGTCTTACCTGTCGAAAGTTGCTCTCTACAGTAGTTTAACGTTGACCAAATCCTTACATAAACCACACTGTGGCAGAGGACATGAGACATTCGTAACATTTAAGTTTCAAGAGGTTGCCCTCTTTTCACAATGATTTATGACACTATGGGAAGTTGTTAAAGCAGCTCAAAATCCTGCAAAAATGTATGTTCATCACAATTAGCACAAGCTTCCATCACCTTTACATCTTCAAAGTTAAACCCTTTTGGCTTTGTCATACGCAGTTACAGATTTCCTTTTGATGCTGTTAAAAGATTGCTGTAAATTGCCTAATGCCCTAACTATGCTGCTGCAATGCGTTCTCTGTTATCAAGGTCCTTGCACTTGCCAAAGGGGAATAGAATTGGATAATCCTCTTAAGTACCAACTCCCTGATCTTAATTATGATCATCATCCTCCTCTTCTATTTAGGGAATCTTTATCTTGTTACTACTTTAACTTGAAGGTCTACAACTTCAGAACATGTGGGGTGTCAGGCAGACAAAATAATACCGTTTTCCTATCCTATTTTCTGATAGTGTGTTTTGGGACACTTTGGAATCGGTTAACTAGGCTATGGCCTGCAGTGTTTTCGATAGTTGTGCGTGTGTGTACTGAGTGTAACATGTTTTATACCCTTGGGCTTAAAAATCTTTTGTTTACTGTCTAACAGTTGATATCCCATTTCACTCAGATCTTTCTCTCTCTCCATAACTTAACCCCATCTCAAACTCCCTCTGTTTGATTTGTAGATGAATAAAATAACAGGTCCCATTAGAGCTTCTACCTGCTTGAGTAACCTACATACAACTGCTGGATACCAAATGTTTAATTTTTTTGAATTTTAAGTTTTCACTTTTTGTATTATATTTTGTGCTTTTTCTGACCTAAACTCACATTTTTGGTTTCACTTTACAAGTAATATTAATAATATGCACATAGCAGCAACAACAATATTATATGTGGTCATTTTTTCATTAATGAAATCCTAAAGTACAATTAAAGTACTGCAAAGTACTGTAAAGAGCAGTCACAATGTTGCACATTACTGCAATTTACTGGCAAATCAGTGAGTGTGCTACTGAGAATCATACTAAAATGTTTATTTTCAAGGAAACTGATAGGATAGAATCAGAATTAGAAACAGAAAACATAAGAGAAAATCTCCTGGGTCACTGAATTCACAAAAATGTACAAGATGTTATACAAAACTCAAAAGACCTTAAAATTTTAAAAGTGTCACTTCCTAGATGGATTGATTGCTAATTTGATCTTAAAATATACTCCTCCAAATTTTAATGCACTAATGTACAATGGAGCACTACAGTCCTTTCTGCGTACTATGTGCCTACTTCTTTGGTCTTTCATGTCATTGTTCATCTACATAAAAACAAGAATGTGCAGCTTTAGTTGCAAACTTCCCATACTTGAACTTTGGTGTTCCTTTACTGTCTGACAGCCTTACATAATAGTCTGCTCTTTGGTGACAAGATAGAGGCTGGAAAAAAGGACCGAACATGGGTGTGCACTTTTGACTACACCCAGATGAATGAATAATGTGTCTGGACCTCTGTGTGTATCTAAGCGTGGCCTGAGGCTGTGCTCTGTGAAGCCAGAATGACAAAATCAGCAGCGATAGAATGAGGAAGGAGCATAGTGTGTCTAGATACACACCTATGTTCATTTTTATGAGCACTCATGCGAGCACCGACACTCGCAATAAATGCGTGGACAGACGCAGACCTACACACATCCATATTCACTTTTATCCGCAAGTCAACTGTCTCCTGTGCTCTTCCTCCCTTCTACCTGACAAGCAGTTTTATGTCAGAAGCGCTCACCCACAAGCCTGGCTAAATTGGGTTTAGATTAAAAATATGTGCCATTCACTGGACACACCAGAAAAGAATTGAATAAACAATAAATCACCTGGGAGGAGACAAGACACATTCAAACATCCTGTCTGTGATGTTCCAGTAAGTACTATCTGACAGCTCTCTATAGGAGGGAGAATGTTCTCCTCTAAAGGTCAGGACACACACACACACACACACAGTGAATAACAGGTACAAATGGGTGTTAACAAATGTAGAAAAACCACACATTTCATATGAATCATGGAAGGACTTGGGGAGGGCAGTGAGAATGAGCATATTGATTTGTCAGAGTCCAGTCTAGTGACATGGACACCACTGTGTGTGTGTGTGTGTGTGTGTGTGTGGTCTTTAGTTTTTATTACATTGTACAGTATGGGCAATTCTTATTCAGTACCATCATTGTGAGCACATTTTTGCTGGTCCTCAAGTCTTCAAAGGGTTTTTGGGGGTTTATGACCTGGTTTCAGGGTTAATCTTTTAATCAGATCTAGGATAGGATTAGGCATTTAGCGTCAGTGTGTGGTCAGTAATGTCAGTGATTGTCCTCACCACTATGTGCACCTGGCATTACTCTTATTGTGGAGACCAAAAACTGTTTACATGCTCACAATGTGGGGATTCTGATCCCCACCATGTAAACCATTGAATTTTATGAAGACAACTCGGTTTAAGGTTAGAGTTCTGTTAAGGGTAGGGTAATAGTGGTTATGGTTAAGGTCAAGGTAAGTCTCTATGAAATGAAGAATGAAAACGGGCAATTAAAACAAAGCTGTGTGTGTGTATAAGAGATTGTCCTTTGAAGAACATCCTCCCCCAGGCAACTATCCATCATAATTTTTCAGTGGCTCAGGTGAGACAGCCTCCTTTTTTCACTTGCTATTTGCATTTAAGTGTCTTTTGGTTTTTGCCATACATGTGTTTCTAATTGCATACATACACACATTCCTGTGTGTGAATGACTTTGAAGACTTGTGTATACATGTACTACCTGATTTTTTGACAAACAGATAATTATAGGAAAATGATTAAAATAAAATTATAAAATTTTGTAAATAAACTTGATCCATGGTAGATTAAAAAAAATCTTGTTTTTTTGTATTGGTGATGGTAAAGTGTGCTTAAAAAGGTACGTGTGTTGTGTCTATGTGTGGGATCAAAGACAAATGGCTTCCAGTTGTAAAACCAAGATAATTTTGCCAGTGTTCACTGTGCACCTGCCAAATTCAGTTGAATGTACATTCTAAAGGAGCGAGTGGGCCTATACGTGTGTGTGTGTGTGTGTGTGTGTGTGTGTGTGTGTGTGTGTGTGTGTGTGTGTGTGTGTGTGTGTGTGGGGACTGGGTCATGCTGCATTTCACTCTGTTTCGCCAGTAACGGGCACTGTAACTGGCACAACTGTAGCTGGGAATTTTGTCACACACAGGTGGTAACCATATGTGGGCGACTGTGTGCGCTTACAGTTCATGTGCAATAACCTTTGCAGCTGTGGGAATGATACACTCTTCCTTCATACAGAGCTGATTACACACACAAGCTAGCAGAACAGAAGCCCCAGCTCACCCTAGCCAGCACAGATCACCGGCTAATGATTGGATGAGCTTTTTGTCATTCTCTGAGTCTGTCCATGGAGAGGGTTTAAAGGAGGGTGAAACAAAGATAACTCAGCTTAGCTCATGCCTATCTTCTCTGTGATCTGCATCCAAAGCAGAGCTGCGGACAATCAGTACTTGAAACTCATTCAGCTGCCTTTTTGATCTTGCCTGGCACAAACATGCAAACACCACCCAAACTGCACTTCTGGCAGACACATCTGCGTCAAGTAACTGGCACAGATGAGCAGAGGAGAGAGAGAATAAGCAAGAGAAAGTGATCAGTCATTCATATAGTAAATGTGTCTATACATATCTTCTACAGTGGGAATAAAAAAGAAAAACCTGACAGTTGTTGGTACTGAGAAATAAAATATGGAGCATGTTGGAGTCACTAAAGTGAGAAAGTGTATTTATATGGCTACAGTAAAAACAGCTATTTAACATCATTAGACTACACGTATTGTGCAACAATCCTGTAAAACAGTGAAACTGTACAGTAGCTATTCGATGAATAGAATTCAATTTCAATGCAACTTGCTTTATCCAACTGAAAGGACCAATAGGACCCAACATGCTCCCACCCTTCTCATCTTCTTAAGCTAAGCCAGTCTGTAATTGAAACAAGCAATTATGTCACATTCTCAAAATAGAGACACATAAGCAAACAGGGTACAAATTCAAAATAAAGCAGGAATAATTAAAGTACAATATTGTTCCGTCATTTTCTGTTTTAGCATGATCGAAATTTGTAGTATGGAAAAATATAGTATGCATGCGAGTAATACCCAGATGACCTGCATAACTTAGCAGTATAGAAGCTGTGGACACTACGCTATCCCATCAACCCACGGTGGTGGCGGGGCAGGCTCAAAGCTGCAATAAATGTCGTCCCAGGATTGTTATTATGCCCACCAGCTAGCCAGCAGGCTACTTAGCAGGCATAGCTGTAGCTATTGTGCTCGTATTATCACATTCAGTAACCCATTAGTGATACGATCCATAACGTGGTGGTTCACATAATAAAATGCTTAGGCTCAAGGCCTCTGTCACCATAAATGTTACCCTCTATAACACTGGTTCACGAGCAGTGACAGCTATGCTACCACTATTATGAATGAATGAAGAACATCCAGGTCAATCGGTGGTGTGTTGACCACGTAGTAGCATGTCTGAAATTATACTTACTAAACGGTGGAGTGGCTGCAGTGCTTACTGCATTTTCATTAGAGTAGTAGGTTTTTGAAATCACAGCACCTTTATATAATTATTTATGCAACTATTTAACCCCTTGTATTGACCAAATACCCCATCAGCTCACAGAAAATACAGTGTGGTCACTACTGTATGATAGAGCAATAAAACTCCTGTAACTGACAATTTTAGATGCAGAATCTAATTTTGCTAGTATAGTACAGCTATTGGATATCGCTCCAGATACAGGGGTGGACACTAACAAGAATATGCACAGCAGACATGCCATAGCTCTATTAATACTACATTATTTGTCTGCATAAATGGATGTGTGCACTCATATGCAGTACAGTTGGAGCTGCATGTTGATGGTCTCTCTCAGACTAGTGCAGATGATGAAACTATCAGAAATGTCACACCAACACTTGGCACCTTTGCAAATGCAAAAAGCCTACATGTGATTCAGTCACATAATGTATTTAGCCAATGTATCAATTAATGACAATAACTGTAGTCATACTTTGAAAAACATGAACCATCTTAGTGATTAGTGAGTCACAAAGCCACTCATTCAGTCGCTCATGTTACTGACTGTATTTCTGAATACTAAAACCAGAGTGACTGTTAAATGAGCTACAACTGCTTCTATCTCCTCTCTAGCTCTCTTTGTATTTGTATCTGTCTGGGATCTTGCAAAACACACATCGAAATGACGAAACTGCTTCAGCAGATCCTAAACGAGAGTCATCAGAACGCATCTAAGATGCTCATAGTTTGCTTTGAAGATCAAATGAGAGAAAGCTCTTGCAATGAGAGAATTAAAAGACAAGGTAATAATAAATGGCAGAGGTCTTTTCCCTCTTGCACTTCTCAATTTATGTCTTAGTCACAGTTTGAAGTAGTTCTCTGTCATTTTGAGGAACCAACAGAAACAGTGATGGAACAAAAAAGAAGGTGGGAAACAGAGAAAGAGGGCGAGAAGGAGATCAGGCTGCTGTAGGAGGATAATTTTGACACAATATTATCATTTCCTCTCCTTTTTATTACTCATTTACAAGCCTTCATTCCCCTAAAGTGGTACTATATTGTGCCATCCTGTAAATCATTTTTCACATCTACAAATGATGCATTAGCAGTTTGCAAATCAATCATTCATTTGGAGGATTCTTCAAAGAGAATGGATCAAATCAGTAGAACTGCTTCAAAATTTCAGTCAGTTCAGTGTCAATGGTTGATCCACACACTCCACAAGGTTCTAAGTGAGCTAATATACTTGTAAACGCATAGGCAAATTGCCTCCTTTGGCAATGATTCAAAACTGGCTGGCTACCTTCCAAAATGACCACAGCTGCAACAAACTCACAATTTGTGAATAAAGTGAACTGGAGCGGAATCGATTCACTGGTATCCGGCAGGAAGAATCAAGTTAATTAAAGGAATCTGTCACCACTCTGGTAGCCTACATTCAGTTTCAAGACAAAACTGATCTGGCACTACACATTCTAAATGACAGAAGACAGATTCTGCTTTGGTAGACCTCCTACGCAAGACAAGTAAAATATAAAGATAACAGAACCCAAACTCTTACTTCTATCACACAAGAAAATGTAAAGGATTAATTCACCATGTCTTCCTTTGTCTGGGAGCAAAGCAATTGTTTGAACAGCACAACAATAAGATTGCACATCTCAAAGAAACAGATCATAAGATGTGAACAAAACCCTCATCATATACAGTAACTCAAAATCACATGTAGTAATAAAAAAAACCAAGGGACGAGGCAAAGGTCAGTGCTCAATGAAACAAGATGAGAAAGGCAAAAGGAAAATTGATGATGATAAAACAAAACATGAACTTACATGGGATTCCCACATCGCTCTTTTCTTTGGGCTCAGTGGACTTCTGAAACAATGAACCTTGGGACAGGGAAAGAAGGATATGGTGGGATGGATGAAGGAAGGGAGAGGAACAAAAACCAAACAAGTCAAGTAAAATGGGTAAAGCATGACAGGACATGAACGCAAAAAAAAAAAAAAAGCCATAACATGTTTGTTTTTTTCTTTGTGTCTTTTTGACTTTTCAGCAATTACATTTAGCTGTATTAGTCCACAAATCATCTACTAAATGAGAGGTGAAAGTGATGTTAAGGCTATAACATAAAAAACACAAGAAAACTTAAGAAACCCTGATATGTGTAATGTAGCTACTGCTGTATCATGTTGAACGGTCTACTTAGTCAGGCAGACAGAAGGTCTGTGACACAGATAAACTGCTGATGTACTAATGTATAATTGAAGTGCTGGTGTATAATTGATAAAGGCAACATAACAACACGGTGCGCTTTAAAAGCTTCTTGCGAGACCGGCTGACTGAAGAAGACAGACTGATTTGGCACCAAAGGGCATGAAACACTGACAAGGTTAAGTGGGGTGATGTGCAAATATAAACATACATTATACATGATTGTTGTTTCCAGGCAGGCTATTTTAAAGTCTACTCTAATTTGGTTAGTGATAGAATTCAAAATATTATAACATTCAGCAGTGTTTTATCAGATTTTATTCTTCTGCTAAATGACTGCACCTAACAAATCTCATGCAGATTAATGCCTGAATCAGTGATGCTAGTACATTGTAATTATAACACAGTCCGACAAATATGAAAACATAATGACAGTAAAATGAAGCGCAACTCATTTAGAAAGCCAGCGTAAGCTTTATGGAAAGAAAAGACAGGGTGACAGAGGAGGACAAAACATTTAAGGAAAAGAAAAGAAAACAGGCAGGGCAGAAAACAATGTGACAGCGTGAAGCAATTAGAATTCACAATGGGAAGAAATAAAAATGAGAAGAAAAGAGCTTCCATTGTGGAGATGCTCTGCACTACCTGCTGATACTCCTGATGGGTCTGCATAATATAGCAAACACTAAAGTTACATAACAGCCAGTATCTCTGGTGATTATTGTGGTTGTAATGAGCGCACAGTAGATTTTATTTACTCTGTTGGTACCGTTTTGTAGCACACACACCTTCACACATACACAGAAGGTCTGAGTGAAATGTCGTGCTCTCAACGATGAGAGAAGTGAAGCACGCAGTGAATCTGTTCCAAGAATCCTGATCAATGTGTCAAAGACCAAAAAAGACACAACGTCAAAGACCAAAAAAGACACAAAACACCACTAAAAAAAAAAAAAAAACTCTAAAGAAAAAAAAACAAACATCCAACGACCTACAACTTTTGTCACAAACAGAAAGATATGCACACACAACTGTCAGATGAACACAAACACGGAAAGAGAGGAGGCAGAGCAGAGGTGAGGTCATATTTCTACCACTCAGGATTTAACAGGACAACTT